TCTGGCATTGTTGCTTAGTCAGTCAGTCAGTCAGTAACAACGTAGAACTTCGTACGTACGTACATCAGTTCGAGTTGCCACACCACATTAGCACAGAGATGCACTTGTCGATTCAAATCCGGTAGTGGTAGAGGTAATAAGAGTATAAGCAGTAATCGGGAAGATTAGGGTTTGGAGATGTTATTTAAAGAGTATAATCCAGTGAAAGAAATTTGGAAAGAGGAAAAAAAGGGACATGAAGAATTCAGAAGATTAGAGTTTGGGAGAACACAGAGAGTGGATGCACCTGCGCCATTGCAAACGATTTTGAGCCATGTCATTCAGGGTCTCTAACCATCGGTTGCTGTCATCTCGCGGTCCCCGACCAGGTAGTCTACACCTACCAACATGACTCAGTTCACTTGTCAGTGACTTCATGGACTTGTGCCATGTTTTGGTTTGGCCGCCCCTAGCTTTCTTCCAACCTACTCCTATACCACTGAACATAGCACGTCGAGGCAGTCGGTCGTTGGGCATACGTAACACGTGTCCCAGCCATCTCAACTGATGAAGTTTCACTACGTCATCAATTGATTTGCCATCTTTACCTAGTACCCGTTTCCTAACAACTGTGTTACTTACTCGATGGTCCCATGATATACGAGCAATGTTTCGAAGACACCTATGATCAAATACTAGTAACCTACGGATATCCTCTACTCTTACCGGCCATGTTTCACTGCCATAAAGTAGGACGGAACGAACTGCTGCGCAGTAAACACGTCCTTTGGTTGATAGACGGATATCTCGCCTACGCCATAAATGACGCAAGTTGGCAAAAGCTAGTCGAGCCTTCTGTATCCGTGCTGAGATTTCGTCACACACCAAACCACAAGGGCTGATGAGACTTCCAAGATAAGTGAAGCGGTCGACACACTCAACTACTTCACTCCCTATCACTAGTTCGGGTGTCGATGTAACCCAATCCTGAAGCAACATTTTGCATTTCGAGGGAGAGAATCGCATCCCGAACATGCTTGCATTGTTGCTTAGAGTGGTCAGAAGACTCTGCATTTTGTCAGCGTCTTCACCAAATAAAACTATGTCATCTGCATATTCTAAGTCAACAAGTGAACCTCCTGGTAGAAGTTCAACCCCTGGAAATTTAGATGAGGAGAGTGTTATCTCTAAAAGTACGTCAATGACAAAGTTGAACAAGAATGGAGAGAGTGGACAGCCCTGACGAACACCACTTGAGGTAATCAATTCTGATGACAGTTCGCCATAAGCTCTCACTCTACCAGTTGTGTTCGAGTAGAGAGCCTTTATAAGGTTAATGTACTTCTTTGGTACTCCTTTCAGTGACAAACACTGCCATAGAACCTCACGATCAACGGAGTCGAATGCCGCCTTAAGGTCGAGAAATACTACCATTGTGGGGCGTCTGAATGTGTGTCTCTGTTCTAGAACCTGACGTAGTGTGAATATCTGATCGATACAACCACGTCCAGGTCGAAAACCAGCCTGGTTGTTGCTTAGTGCTACCAGAAGACTCTGCATTTTGTCAGCGTCTTCACCAAACAGGACTATGTCATCTGCGTATTCCAAGTCGATAAGTGGACCTCCTGGAAGGAGATCAATACCCGAGAATTCAGTCGACGAGAGTGTTATTTCCATCAATAGGTCTATGATGAAGTTAAACAAAAATGGAGAAAGTGGGTAGCCTTGACGAACACCACTTGAGGTTGTAAAAGTAGATGACAGTTCGCCATAAGCCCTGACTCGACTAGTAGTGTTCGAGTAAAGAGCCTTCACAAGGTTTATGTACTTCTGAGGTACACCTTTCAATGACAGACACTGCCACAGAGTCTCGCGGTCTACAGAGTCAAATGCTGCTTTTAAGTCAAGAAAGACCACCATCGTCGGACGCCGATAAGTATGCCTGTGTTCTAGAATCTGACGAATGGTGAATATGTGGTCGATGCAGCCACGACCAGGTCTGAAGCCAGCTTGGTTCTCTCGAGTTTGTAGTTCACGAGTCTTAGTTAGGCGTCTGATAATTATCGAGGCTAGTATTTTAGATACTATGTTTGTTAAACTTATCCCTCTGTGGTTGTCACAGGATGATTTTGACCCTTTCTTATATATTGGGACGATAAGTGATTGCGACCAGTCAGATGGGATAAAGTCTAATTCCCAGATCTTAGCTAAAATATTAGTCAACCTAATCGATAAAATTGGACCACCATCCTTAAAGACCTCTGGAGCCAATCCATCTGGACCAGCTGCCCTTCCTCGTTTCAGATTAACTATAGCTTTCTCGACTTCAGCAAGAGTTGGGGGACCTACTTCAATGTTCCATTCACACTGTCTGGGAATGGAGGGTAGTTGTAGAGAAGCTGAAGGCCAGCTGAACTGTTCTCTAAAATGTTCCGCCCGTCGTTCTAAACGTCTGGACTGGGAGCAGATGAGAGTATCGTCTTTTTCCGAAATAATCTCACTTACACTTTACTTATTAATTCCAGTTTCTTTTATTAGTCTGTAAAGCTGTCTTGTGTTCCCTATAGTCGCCGCCTTTTCCATCTCTTTTGCTTTCGTTACCCACCACTGCTCACGGTCGTTCCTTAGACTTTTTCTTAACCTAGATCTGATTTGTTTACGCTCTTCATCATGTTCAGAACCTGATGGGACGAGTTTGCGAGAATCCATCAGTGTGACAGACCTTGAAGAAATCCACTGGTTCCTTGCAACTCTGTGGTTTAAGTCACTAATAGATGTCACTGCTGTTTCCACAGCTGATTGTATAACTTCCCAAGCAACATCTGGGTCAGCCTCGTCTTCAGAACTACCTAAGTGTGACCTCAGTTGTTCCTGGAACCTACTTTTGGTTTTCTCGTTACTCAACTCAGTTCTAACGGGTCTTTTTAATGTGGCTTTTTTGCGTCCAGTGAGGCGCAAGCAGATGCGTACCCGTATTAGGGCATGGTCGGAGTCCAAGCAGGTACTCCAGAATGAGCGACAATCTTCTACCGACCCTCTCCAACGATGACTGATGGCAATATGGTCTATTTGAGTCCATCGTTGGTTTGGTGTAGGGTGTCGCCGACGATGTCTCTCCTTATTCTTAAAATTTGTATTTGCTAAAAATAAGCGATTGTCTGAGCACAGTTGCAGCAGACGATCACCATTATCTGTTCGCTGTGTCGGAATACTAAAATATCCACCTAAATGCCTTTCTGTTTGGTTTAAACTGCCTATCTGAGCATTAAAATCACCTGCTACGAGTACTATGTCTGAGCGTTTAGCTTTCTGAAGAAGTTCGGACAGCTTTCTGTAAAATTCATCTTTCACTTCATCTGAGCTGCAGTCAGTGGGAGCGTAGGCAGAAACGACAAAAAGGCAACGACGTGTGTCCCTATCCTTCCGAGTTCTTACGTAGCCGTTCAGCCGAACAGCACATAGACGACTGCTGACGGGAATCCACTCTAGCAGTGCTTGTTCAGCCCTCATGTTTAGTGCTATGCCTACACCTGCCAGTCCACGAGAACTTGCCATCGGGTCACCAGATACACGAAGGGTGTATCTCGTTGGCTTTCCGTTTTGCCAAGGTGAGGTCAAGTGAATAACCACACTGGAATCCTGTATGCGTGTTTCGGAGACACAGCACACGTCAATGGTAAGAGACTCTAGGGTTTTAGCCAAGGAAGCCTGCTGACCGATTTGACATAGGGTTCGTACGTTGAAGGCTCCAATGTGTAGTTTGGAGCGAGGTTTCAGTAGACCTGGGACAGTGTTTTGAGCACTAGAATCGTTGGCTATGGTGACACTTGAGGAGGAAGCCGAAAGAGGAAGTTTAGGGTTTAAAGTCGATGTCGGAGGAATAATAGGAAGTGAAGACGGAGGTTGATTATGAATACAGTGGTCTCGAGTGCTGTTAGAGGTATGAGGGCGGTTATCACTTCCCGGTTGCCCACACCGTGGAAGGGTTGTTCTGGAGGTACCTGAAAAGGAAATTGGATTAAAGGTGGTCTTAGTGACCTGAGAGCGTGACCGCAGAGCCCAAGGGACAACTGCTTGAGGTCGGTCACACACGACCTTTTTATGGGTAATTTTTGTGTTAGCTCCGTACTTATTTAGACCTTACCGCCGGAGACGGATATCCGTGGGATAAGGCGAGGTGTGCATTTTTAGGGTCGACCTTTTCTAACCCCACCCCTCCTTGTGGGAAGGCAGCATCGCTGTCATGCTGGTTGTCTGAAGGAAACACCTTACTGCTGTCACACCTCTGTACAGTCAGCAGTACGACTTCGCCTTCGGACCTTGGGTTTGTTGCTTTTAGCCTTACCGCTCTTCAACCGACCTGTCTGACATGGTAGGACCTTGAGGAACGGTTGTTCCAGCCAGTATAGCTCGGTTGCTTCATCACGATAGGCAAGCCCGACCACCGCGTCAAGGTAGCAACAACGGTCGGGAAGAGCAAATTACACCAACATTCAATCTGCGCATTGAATCCGTCACCTACAACTACGATGTTTACCGTATGCGCTCGGATGAGAATATTATATAGTCGGCAGTACAACTAATTTTTCTTTGAACATGAACTGAAGGACAAAACTTTGTTTCCTTCCACGATTTCCTTATACTTTAACCTGCCTTTAGCAGTAGCATTACATAAGCGGTTGGAAGGAATTAAATTGACTACTACTTCGTTTCGTATTTAATGACACATCGACGCAAAGACATAGATCAGTCAGCCAGCTATAACGTAGGACCAGGCAAGATATTAAAACACTAACCAAACTAAGACCGACCATTTCGACAATTGTTAGTGTTTGCTATAGAACTCAGCTTAGCGAAACACATACAACTACTTATTTCGGACAAAGCAAACTCGTGGATGGTTAGGCAAAATGTGGAATATAAAACAAACTCCTTACAGCTACCAAAACATGAACTTGCATATCTGAGCATAGTTGAAAAGCGTAGTTCTTAACATAGCCAAAACATATTATACAGCTTACCTGATGGAAAATATATTGATCAAAAGAACTGCCCTCCCATACCCACGCATCTTTTTCATTATCCAGACATATGACGGTTGGGCTTAATTTTTTCCCAGAGTTTTCAATCGAGGACTTCATTTCAAGTGAACTGCTTTCATTCAGTAAAGTACTTTCAGTTTTTGTACAAAGTACAGGTAAATTTTGGGATGGAACTATATTAATAGTTTCATCTAGGATGTCGACAGGCGGTGTTTGGTGTGGCAATACAGGACCATTAACCTTACCATATGAATAACATGTCGAGTGGTTCTCCACATATGGTTTGCTATGACAACTAGACATCGGCTGATCAGAAATAGAACATGCATTTGGTATGACTGTAGAGTGGTTCAACACTAACTGTCCTAGACCTGCTTGAGGTAAAAAGCTTGTGCACTGATTACTTGACAATTGGATAATTTGTGGTTGAGTGGTTGAAATAATTTGTGCGGACGAGACCGTCATAGGACATAAGAGTTCATTGCTGTTGTTAGCTGAGGTATTGAATGGTTGGCAAGGTAGCAAGCTAGGTTGAGCCCATGATGTTGGTAAGAGAACAGGTGACATAATTCCGCAGGGAAAACTAGGTCCTATGTAAGATGCAGGAATATTGGGAAACGATTGTAAGACAAGTGGATACGCGACCTGAGGCGTGACACCAGGGTTAGGAACAACAAAGGGTGATCCGATGTGGGGAAGAATAATACTTGGAGGTGCACAAGCAACAAAGGATGGTGTGATACTTGAATTTGCAATACACGATAACATAGGATTCCAAGAATTAACGTACTGGGGCGGGAGAGAGGGATAAAATGGATTGTACATAACTTGGTTGTGTCGCTGTTGTAATGCGGTATCATTAAAATAACAATCATATGGTTTTGGACAGGATAATACAGGAAAAGGAACAGAACTTCCTATTGACGGACGAGGGATAGCTGTGCCGAGATCTGGTAATTTAGACTGACACATAATTGGAGAGGATTCGTTCGAATGAGGTACAACTACTACCTGATGCATGATCTGCTGAACACCAAACGTGTCATGTCCTAATGGTATAATTCGTTGTGAATGAAAACTCTCGATTGCAGGGTTAATTTGGCAAACGTTCTTAAACGTTAATGGTGTAATTTCTTTCACAGGAGTACAACTTGAGGGCTTGTGTGTTGTCAGTACGCTGCCTTGTTCAGAAGTCAGGGCATCGGTAACCTCCACACATTGACCTAGATCATCATCAACGACTGAACACATAGGCTCTGTAATAGCATCATCTGTTTCATCCGAATGAATCAAAGTTGGTGGTAATCCTAATTCAAATAATACACCCGAATTTCTTTTCTTGACGTATGTTTTCCTAGGAGATTTAGAATTAAAAGCACCTATGATGGCAGTTGCGTTTAGACTTGCCAACCGTTTACCATGAGCTTCAACAGGAGATACATAATCAGGTCCAAGCTCACGTCTTAATGCTTTTTGAATGTCTGGACTCTTGTTTCGACACTTTCGGGTTCTCCTAAAGCCCTTAGCAGATTTTTTAACAGAGCCACTTGATCGGACACTGTTTTTACTAGTTCCGGTCAAATATTTGGTTACAGAACCTTTTGAACATGAACTTTGAACAGAATCATCGTAGCTTCTATTGCGAACATCCTTTTTACGTAGCTTTGTATTGATTTGATCCTTTAGACTTGTAGTAGCTCTATCTTCAATAGATTCTTTAGGAACTGACGTTATTAGTTTGTTTGTACGGTATGGAGATTCTCTAACATAGATATCATAAAAAAGCCGACCGTTCTGTGTATATGTAACGAAGTTAGAAGCTCTTCTACGACCTACTAAATGCGCTGATTTATAGGTTTCAGAATTCCGCTGACGCTTAGTACAATTGAGGATACTCTTAACTCTGCCCGGTTTTTGTTTACGTTCACCTGGATGTGGAGTTTTTGGATCTGAAGACTTTTCTAGGACGTATGATTTCTTGAAATCAGATCTATATCCAGACCGCCTGGTTTTCATAACAAAAACGCCAGACAACTATCAGCTGGGACTACAATCCAAATACGCGCTCAAACGACAGTACGCCAGAAAGCCAATTATTTCAACCAAACACTAATTTAACTCATTTCATAAAGTATGGCCATCATAGTAGTTAGTACCTTTCATGACGTGGATTTTATTATTTACTGACCTCAGGCAATACTTTTAAGAGGTTCGAATGGTTCAAATGCTTGTGGACGGAATAGAAGCATTCGCTTAAGACCTCTATACTGTAATGAGTAAATGTTAAGTGAATGTAGGCGCACATCACAAGTCTTGGATTTAAGTCCCCGAACTGATTTTGTGGATCGCCGTTGGATACGCTCCAGAGTGTCCTTATCGTTTTGGAGTGAGGGAGGAAATACTATGTTTCCGTACTCTAAGTGGGGACGAATAAAACTGTTAAATATTATGAGGAGAGTTCTCCCATCAAACTGGCCAAAAATGCGCTTCAGTGTCACCAGTGCAGGGTTTGCTCGAAAGGCATTTTTGTCACAGTTAGCGTAAGACTTTAAATCATAGGGCACCAGGACTCCTAAATATTTTTCGACTCGGGATACAACTAGAAAAGAGTTTCCAAAGTTATAACGATAGTCTTCGACATGTCGCAGATGGACTACTTTACACTTTGAAGTGTTGAAGGTAAGTCTGCCCGATTTGAAGTCGATTCAGACCCTCCTGAAGTGCCTGTATATCGTCTTGGTTGCGTATCTCTCTCCAAAGTTTCACGTCGTCGGCAAAAAGTAATGAGTCTAACGTTACCTGTTGAGGAAGATCAATTATGTAGATCAAGAAGAGAAGAGGTCCTAGTACTAAGCCCTGGGGGACACCACTAGGACATTCCAAAGCCTGAGATAAAGTGAAATTAACCCTAACCTTAAAATGTTGATTTTTCAGGTATGAAGTGAGTCAATCGATTAGAGGTGGTCTGATACCCAATCATTTGAGCTTATTGATAAGACATGTATGGGTAACCTTTTCTAAAGCTTTTGAGAAATCTAGGTAAACGATATCAGCTTTCCCCTTGTGATCGAGTATGCTTGTCCATCTGTCCACCGCAGTCAGCAGGTTTGTAATACAAGGGTAACCCTTCCTGAGACCGTGCTGTTGGGGTGAGAAGAAATTTAAGGACAGTGAATAATCACGTATCCCATCGCATATGAGGGACTACATGATTTTCGAAAGTATTGAAGGAAGAGCCACCGGCCGGTAACTTGAAGGTTCGCTGCGTCGAACCCCTTTGAAAATTGGTGTAATGTGAGCCAGCTTCCAAATTTCCGGTAGTTAGCCTCGATCTAGCGAGTGTGAGAACATCACGCTAAGCGGTGTTGCCAGGATTGAGGCTGCTTCCCTCACTATAATGGAATGAATCATATCTGGGCCAGAAGAAGTGGCGTTCCTTAGGTGCTGCAGTTTCCGGTACACCAGGCCAGCGCTCAGGTTCACTACGGAAAGTCCTGTGCAGTTGCAAATGAAGGTGTCCTTAGTATAGTTGATGTGGGTCGGTTGAAATGTCCGAGAGTATTGTCCAGCCGAAAGGTCGGCAGTGTCACCGTCGTTATTGATCGGGCCATTAGGACCTAGCAGTTGGGAAACTCTGGTTTTGGCCTGACGAAGAGAGTCTGCGTAACGGAATAAGCTTTTCGGATTGAAGACAACTTTATCCATAAGATTTAACTGGTACTGAAGCCTATCTTCTCTCTTAGCCTTCGTGCATATGTTCCTTATATGTTTAGATTGCCTGTACGCGCCGTTGTTGTCAGTTCGTTTCTATTCTGCCCAACAGTGCCTTTTGCGGCTTGGCGAACGAAGAGCGCGGTTCTTGATGATTGTAGGTTGCTTATAGCTTTTGGGTACCGTTTGAGGGACTGACTACTCTGTAGCACATAAGAGTGTGTGCAGTAAGAAGCTCCAATGAGCATTCACATCAAGTTGAGGGTGAACATCTCAATACACCTGTTGTAGATAGTCCTGTAGAGCTGACAAATTCAACCGTTTGAAATTCCAGCGCCTGTTGTTGGTGGAATATCTTGGCTCAGTTTTGCTGATAAAACTGAAGGCTATAACGGCGTGATCGCTCTTCCTCAGGGGAGCCAGGATTGAGAGATTTTCAACTAGAAATTGCCCAGTCTAAGCGCGACGGTATCTGACTGTTTTCCAACGAGTTGCCGACTTCACATTTTCGAATAATCCCAGATTCTTAATGAGGTTGAAGAACAGAGCTTCAGTTAAGTTTTCACGTCCAATATACGTACGTTCAGCGAAATTGACTCTAGGGAGATTGAAGTCCCTTAGAATCAGGATATGAGTGAATCCGAGACGTGTAGAGCAGGATAGTCCTTTCAGCATACGACTGTCATACTCGATGTCAGCAGTGGGCTTCCTATAGATGACCCCGACTAGGCACATCGATGTGGTAGACAATCTTACTGAGCACCATACGGATTCATCAAGATTGTTAAACGCATGTTTGTGAACTTAGTATACCTCCAAGTAAAATCGTATGTATACGGCTACTCCACATTCGATTCCTGTTTTTCTGTCGTTGCAAAACAAAGACATCCCAGGTATTGCTAGCTCCTGGTCCGTAAACTAAGATATCCACGCTTCAGATACTCCTATCAGATGACCCTTGTTGTCATTGCTAGGTTCACGTAGCCCATCCATTTTGTTTGGTAGCATTGTGGACCGCAGGTGACTACGCTGATTTCTGCCGACTGACCAACGTCAAATATCCTAGTACGACCCCAATACTGTTCCCATTCTCCAATATGTCAGAATACGAACAGTAGATGAAATTGTTTATGGGGTCAGGAGAAGAATAAGAATAGGAATAGGAATGATACTTTACAGACAAATGCATATTTATACAGTTAGGACTACCGCGAATACTGACCAACAGGAAAATGACACGTGAAATAAGTATTTACCAGTAGGGAAACAACACGTGAAATAAATATTGACCAATGGGAAAATGACACCATTTCACGTTCAGTGATAGCATTAGACTTAACAGGATAATTTTTGAAATATTTTTCTGAATATCCCAACAGGTAGACGCGCTGCCGTTAATGCTTTCAATTTGAAACGCGTGAGCTTCTTCCTGTTTATCTGTATGAACCTCACGCAAATGGACAGGCAGCCATGTCCTTTACACGTTTTTTTATTATCAGGACAGTCCACAAGTGGAACGGTCAGTCCCAACTTGCCTTTGTGCCTAATACTGGCGTTATATTGCCTATCCGGGTGCATATGGATTCCAGTTGGCAACCGATGTTTGTTGGCACGAAATGCTTCCAGAGTTGCAGCCGCCAGATGGGAGAGTGGGAACGTTATCCCCATTAGCCGGGGTCCAGAATCTCTGTCTTTCTTGATTAGTCTCGTCACATATTAAGTCAGTATGTTTTTGAGCCTCAAGGACTGCATGATGAATTTCCATTCCCTAATATCAGAGTTTCTTTGAATAGGGTCCGTGTTTTCCGGTACAATTTGCACGATTATATTTCTTCCACGGAAAAACTTCTCGCGAGATTCTTTAGGTATGTTCTGTATGAGATTGTGTTCAGAATACGGTATGTCGGGCAGTATTCATACGTTCCCATCGGATTTCAGTAAATGACTAGCTAGCAGGACATCCTCTACGTCGGTAGCATTCTTAAGTGTTACACGAAGTAGCCTCGGGTAATTTTGATGAGTGAGCCGTGACCGTCAAAGGCTCTATTCTAAGAACTTCAAGCTTCTTGTTCAATTCACCCAGGGCATCCTGTCATTTTTGTCCTGCAAACTGAGAGGAAGGTCAGGGTTGTCTTTGAGGTTCATGATTATAAGAGTCATCACGAACCGTTATTGTCTCTCCATGTTTTCCGGTGCGTTCAGGTTCAGCACCTTGTTGTTTGGAGGTCGAAGCACGTTTATGAATCCTTGGCTCTTTGATGACCGGACGGACATTCTTGGGGGTAGACTGTGCGATCAAACCACAACCGTACAATACTTAGGATGTTCAACTTAGACAATGATTCCTGGTCCTTTTTAGCTCTGTTAACGTGGGTCCACTCACCTACAGAGTTTTTAGGAACCACTGTTGCATTCAAGGACCCTGATCTGGGAGACCCGAGTTTGCTGAGGGAATCTGTTACCGTCGACGTGATGGTGGTGCTGAGTCTCAGCATGTCATCACTAGTGTTAATGCATGCTCCATCGATATTAGACCTGTCGACATCCCTATTCTTGTTTTCGTTACGCGCCCTTGATTGTCTACACGTTTTATGACTGTTTTTTCAAGTTTTTTGACAACTTATTCCGCAGACTTATCGATAGGACAATGATGTTACTCAGCAAAACTACAGCATCCGTGCTGCACGCAATACACACCCACTTATGATCTGACTTACTGAGTCTGTTGTGAGTGGTTGCTGTGAGATCTGTGCACGCTTCGTGGAACCAACCTTTGTAGTTGTCGCACAACACACTGCGCAGACTGGCATCAGTAACTGATCTAGGGGTACATTATTCGCACAGTCTTAATTTCTCTGAACACATCTCAGCCAAAGCATCTAAAATGCAGAAATTACTTGGCTTCATTCTCCGTAATTTCTACCAAAATGAATCTAAAATCCTTCTCTATAAAGTTTGTGTAAGACCTATCGTTTAATACTGCTCGTTCTTATTTTCCAACCTACGCCTATCTGATATACTAAAGGTGGAAGGAATACGACGAGACCTCACTCCCAAAATACTTAAGAATGAACCGGTCATTGGCTACAGTTACCGATACCAAATCTTAGGAATAGCACCCCATTGGGAGAGAAGGCTTAGGTTTAATTTGATTCTCTACTTCAAACTACTCATAAACCTTACTTATTCAACATGCAAGATAATTCTTGCCCAAGATTCAGATGAATACGAACTTCGAAACAAAGTATCTAAGGTCAAAGTTGAGAAATGCAGATCAAAAACTCGGGAAAACTTCTTCCTCACCA